CTGCACATGAACGTGCCTCACCATTGGTGGCACCTTGCCCTTCGACAAGCCATGTGGGAGCGCAACAAAGTTGAACGCGCTTCTGTGCCTTTGAGAGCAACACCGTATACGATGATGTACAAAACAAAGCTAGACCTCACCATGGCCTGACTGTGAGGTTGCATGGTGCAATGCATCCCGCAACATCAGTGCGGTGGGAAGCTTGAGCAGAAAGCTAGTTGGGGACTTTACCTTGGCATTTCTCCTGCGAGCAAGGGTTGGGAGGTGCTCGATCTTGCTGCCGACCGCATCGTCACCACAGTGGAAATGATCTTAACGAAACGCAGTCGCTGGATGACTGGAAAGCAGAGTGGCCCAGAAGTGTACACAAGGTATCCACTTTGACGGCATCCTCCCCGTCGCCCGATCTTCTCGCTGATGAGATTGACGATCCGCTTGATGCCCTGGCTTCAGCTCTTGCACCTCTGCACATCCCCACGTCACTCCCCGTTCTACCCTCCCATCAGTATACCTCCAAGTAGTACCTGTCACTAATCCGTCAACCTCCTCCTCGCATGCTGCAGAATGACTCTCTTGTCCCACCGCTGCCACCCTGACCAAGTTGGCCGACGACGATGAGGGGAGGCATGACGCACCATCTATGGCGCCGCACATCGGCATCGTCGATGGTCGACCTGCCGCATCTCCTGAGGTTGGCGCGTTTGGTATGCAGAAGCTGGCAGGGGAGCAGGTGACAGGGGAGCAGATCAGCGATAGCTCGTTGAGCAACGTTGTGGAGGTCCTACCGATAGCCCCTAATTGAAAAACGATGCAGGGGAGTCTTCTAGAGACAATTCTTCAAGTTATGTGGTGGAAGTCTCAGTTGAGAAGCCCCCGGTGCGGCATTCCACCCGCTCGAACTTTGGTGTGCCTCCAGAGCGATGGGCCAATGTGTGCCCGGTATTCACTAACACGCTTCTTGATGAAACGAATGTGGATACTACGCTGCCAGAACTGGATCCTGATATGCACGTGGATTCAGATAAACGGCGGGATATCGCAACGATGAGTGTCACGGAAGCGTTGACGAGCTGGAAGGGCAAGGTGGTGAAGGCAGCCATAGACAAGGAGATACGTAGTCTCCTGGCCAGCGGAACATAGTTGGTGCCTCGACCGTGCAGCGTCAATGTCATGAAGAATCGGTGGGTTCTTATGACGAAGTACAACGTCGACGGCACGGTCGCTCGCAAAAAGGCATGATTTGTCGTAAAGGGTTTCACGCAGATGGCGCCGATTACGTTGAGACGTATGCGCCGGTCGGCAAGTACGCTACACATCGATTTTTTCTCTCCTTTGTCGCGGTACTCGATCTGCATCTCATCCAGCTGGACATGAAAAACGCATTCCTGAAAAGCATGTTGGACTGAGTTCTGTACATGGAGCAGCCATCGCATTACAATGACGCTTCTAAAAGGTTTGTATAATCTCAAACTGAGTCCACTACTGTGAGGATCGAGGATCGAGTTCAGAAAAGTAGAAATGAACTGATTGATCTACCTGGGTACAACGCAAAGCTATATATAGTCTCGACACAAGGCCAGTAACCCAGGTGTTACGTAAATGTTCTGAGGGTCGCGAAGCGTCCCAAACAGAACCTTCCCAAATTTGGTAGAAGGCAATTCGGTGGCAACCGAAAGGCCTGGAATCCGGAAGACACAACCTGGTTCGGAACTATAACTATAATAAATTATAGGAATGCACCTAACCTAGGAAATCAAGCATAAGCATGCATGATAAAAAAAACCTAAGCTAGAAATAACATAATTAGCAAGCATAAGCTGTTGTACTCTCACAACTACTACGGTTTTCGACACTCGACAGTGTACTCATTGGCGGCGGATGGAGCAAGAGTCAGGTTGACAAATGCTCTACTTCAAATTTGGTGCTGATGGAGTAGGATGCTGGCTGCTCGTCTACGTAGACGATTTGCTCGCCGTGAGTAGCAAGCTCAAAATGCTGAAGGACATGCGTGAGCTTCTGCAAAACGGGTTCGAGCTGCGGAAAGTATTTGGGACTGGTTTTGTGCGAGACAGGTCTACGGGAAAGCTGTGGCTGCACCAAAGTGCATATGTGGACAAGATGCGTCAACGCTTTGTGGATGAAGAGCAAACAGGTCTCCGCCCGAAAACGCACATCTCGGTGGATGCGTACTCCGATCTAACATTCGATGACGAAAAACACCAAGCGCACGAAGAGGAGGAGTACCGCCAAGAACTGTGTTCGCTCCTATTTCCCGCGAGCACGACTTACGTGGTCAACAGCTGCGATTGGATACTCTGCGCCTTATGGGGTATGCGGATTCGGATGACGGGGGTGACCGACAGACATGCAGCAGTACCAGCGGATACGTATTCGTGCTTGGTGTAGCTTTAGTTTCGTGGGGAGGTCAGGACATTTAGTGCATGACGGTATCCTCAACAGAGTCACAGAATATTGCAACAAGGGAGGCTCGCAAAGAGGCCCGCCGCTTGCCTATTCTTCTCGCTGAATCTTGGCTACTTGATGCTGGGATGCCAACCATCATCCACGTGGAACTCCTTTGTAATTACAATTGCGGAAGGGCTGGGGCTCAAGGGGAGCCTCAAGTACATGGAGAGGCGGTACATTTGGCTGCAGCAGATGGTGAAGCACAAGAAACTCGCGCTTACGTACATCGTGACTAGCGAGAAACCTGCGGACTATCTCACGATGGCGCTGCATTCCTCGGCATTCAAGCGCTACTCATTTGCCGTTGGGCAAGTCGATATTGCAGACGACGAGCGTGACAACGCGCATGGTTAGGTGCCATGTCCCTCAACATGGCTAGTTCGGTGAGTATGCGTGTGCAGATACACGCGGACGAGCATTCAGAACGTCACCATTTACTTCTTTTCACTTTGTATGGTGTGCTAACTCCCCAGATGCCCAGACACGAGCAGGGCATGGCATCGTTGAGGTGAAGCCCTTCACGCTCCTCATTTCCTATGTAACAGCCCCGTGCTAAATAGCGAGATTTTGCATACCGCATACTGGTGCTACGGAATTCGCCGAGTACACCCCAATCTGTGCAGTTCAATATGCATATTCCGACATTGGACCAAAAAGGGAGGGAAGTGACAACATTGCACAAACGAGTATGTGCTTGTATCTGTTGCAAGGACGTGCGCAACTACTCCTGGGCAGGTAGAAAGTACACATGATGGTATTTTCACCTCGCGGTGCTAGCTCAGAACCGCACATGCTAGAGTAGTTGCTTGCACGTTCTCCTTGAATAATGTTCTTCATAAACAACGTTCTCCTATAGCGTTCTTGCATACGTCAATTTGTTCCCTATATGGATCATGATGTTTCCCTTGTAATCAATCAATAAGTCAATTTCATTCCTTCCTTAACTGAATACTAAGCATACGGTTTCTGAACACCACTATCCGGTTTCCAACAAAGTCCGTATACACAAAACTCGCGCCTCTCTCCGTTAGTGCAACTCCGTGCCTAAGCTTTCCCATAATCGCATATTCATCGCACATTGGGCTCTCCTACTCGACAATGACAACTTCATTCTTCAACCTCGTCGGATACGTGAACGAAGATCACGCCGCGGATCATGACAACCGACGGTTACGAACAGGCTTTCTTTTCCAACTCGAGCCAACGAGACCAATCTCCTGGAACTTGCAGAAGAAGAAGATGGTTGCCCTATCATTAGCCGAAGCGGAATTCACCACTACCAACGCTGCTGTTTGCGAAGGACTCTATCTACATGAGCTACTACACGTCGCAAAATCACGACATCACAAACATTTTGCCTTCACTACGTCAACCGATGTGCAATCAAGATCTTGAACAAGCCCGTCTTCGTCAACCAAACAAAGCACATCGCGCTGCGGTATTTCTTCGTCAAGGACGAAATCCACAAGAGGAAAGTCGATCTGATGTACGGCCCCACCACTAATATGGCAACTGACTCTTTCACCAAGGGACTACCACGTAAGCAATACCAGCACTACGCCAAGCTCAGCGGATTGGTCAAGAAGGTAAAAAACTGCTACGCCCAGGGATGAAGGCAGTGTTGCAATAAAAGTTTAAGTGAAGAACATTCCAGTACGTAACATGAGCGAACACTACCAAGTACGAAGTCGATGGGTGAGGGGAACCGAATCGACGAAGACAACTGTGAGATGAAGATCGACGGAGGCAAAAAAAATTGAGTGGGAAAAGGCGGGAACAGGTTTGAAACGAGTTTGTCATGTTATTCATATTATAAAATCGTTTGTAGTGCTAGTTTAGTTGTCTCATGTTTGGTTGCTGTAAGGAATTACAATTCCTTACTGTACTCGCACTTTAGCGAGTACATCCCGAAGGTCACGCGACGAACCTGTTCGACCTATCTCGTCGGCCGAACCACCCCCGAGTCGGCCTCCGCCCCAATCGCAACCATCACCGAGCCATCCTCGCCCGACCTCCCCGCCTAGCTAGGACTTCCCCTATTTAGTCGTGCCATGCTCATTGTATCGTCATTCAGTACTCAATCATTCTCGTTATTCGTTTTACTGCGCACTCTGCAAGTTCATTCATAACAGTTGCTGTGCACCTCCTTGCCTTGCTTGTTCTTGTTTCCTATATGTTCCTCTCCTTCTATACTGAAACGATCATTCTCTCTACTCTACCTTGGCACAACCTCCTCGATATCACCTTGGCCTAAGCTACTAAGTCTAGGCCCTAACTTCAACCTAGCTCTTAACTCAGCTACTATTTTGACATGGTTTCAGAGTAGAAACGCTCCTACACATAAATCCTAATGGGCCTACCGTTAGATTCTACCCGTGCCCATCCTGTGCCCGCCCGTTGCGCTCTGCCCTACGCCGCCCTTTGCGTTCTGCCCTACGCCCGTCCGTCGCGCTCTGCCCGTGGCGAGCTCGCCAGCGCCGAGCACCAGCGCGGACGAGAGCGCTGAGCGCCAGCGCGGACGAGAGCGCCGAGTGCTAGCGCGGAAGCCAGCGCCGACCGCCAGCGCGGACGCCCGCGCCTTGCGCCAGCGCGTTCGCCAGCGCCGAGCGCCAGCGCGGACGCCTGTGCCCTGCACCAGCGCGGACGCCAACGCCCTGCACCAGCGCGGACGCCAGCGCGGACTCCAGCGCCTTGCGCGAGCGCGGACGCCGGCGCCCAACGCCAGTGCCAGGGCCGGCCGCCAGCGTCCCCGCCCACTCCAGCCCGCTCCCCATCCACATTTCCGCCGCGCCTTGCCAGGGGCGGCTGCTGTGAGGGGGAGGTGGCGGACAGTGGTGGGGGCGGCGGCGGGAATGGAGCAAGCGGGGAGGAGGGGGGGGGGGGGGGGAGTGGGCGTGGAGGGGGTGGCCACTGTGAGCCTTTGCAGCACCACCCTCCGCCTCCTCCACCTCTCACTCACTCCCGCGTCTGATGCTGGGGGGGGGGGGGGATTGAGGGGTTGGGTGAGTCCAGCTGCAGCATCAGCCGCCTCCTCCTCCTCGCATCCCCTGCCTTGTGCCTCCCGTACCTTGCTGTCGGCCTCCTGACTGGCGCCTCGTGCACATCTTGACCGGCGCCTCGTGCGCCTCCTGCCCGGCGCCTCGTGCGCATCCTGCCCGGCGCCTCGTGCGCCTCCTGCCCGGCGCCTTGTGCGCCTCCTGCCCGGCGCCTCGTGCGCCTCCTGCCCGGTGCCTCGTGCGCCTCCTGCCCAGTGCCTCGTGCCCGGCGCGTCCTGCCCGACGCCTCCTTCCCGGCGCCTCCCACACGGTTGAATATCGACGTAATAAGTGAATTTACCCCTTAGAGTACATTGCTAGCTAGGCCGTTTCATATTCGTTTGTAATCTTATATAAACATATCTATGTCGTTGTTTTAGTCATTTCTGTCATTTTTCATTCACTCTGACAGGCTTCAATCCATTTCGCTGCATTTTCACTCGGCGATCAAACCTGAGAACGGTCCTGGTGAAGTCCCTGATGGGATTGTCATTGAAAATCGCACTTCGCGTTGTCGCTGTTGCATACCCCTTATGATGATTTTTTTTATGGTTGAGAAAAATTAACAGGTCCCAACCTGATTTTCCTTTACAACGTTTCTTGTTTTATGTTGAGCCCAGGGCGCGGTACACAGTTGTTCAAGAGCTATTCAAGATGGAAATGACGAACAATGTCAAAATACGAAACAGGAATGATTGACTAAGCAGGAAATGTGTTACAAATACTAACCCTAACAAGGTTGTACCCCATAGGGAGTAACCCACTACAGCCTAACAATGTATGTTTGACACACCCCCATAGGCGAATTGGGGGACAACAAGAGGTCACAAGACCAGTCAAGAGAAACAAACAAAGCAAAGCTCATGGTGGATCTCAAGATCACCTCGCATTCTGAGAAGAAACAAGCGGCCTCAAGGCCAGTTCAGATGCAAAGTTTATAATAACAATTTCAATACACTGATCATAACCTAGCAAGTGCAAACATGCAGGTATACTCATATATATCTGTGTACAACAAGGTCAAGGTAAGACCAAGAGACAAGCAGATGAGGCAGAGTGGGCACAAGCCCAAGATTAGTGCAGAAACGCACCCAGACCCAAGGGCCTTGGTGAAGACATCAGCAGTGTTGGCCTGCGTGGCCACGTACGCAAGACGAAGCTGACCACGCATTTGCAGCTCTCGCGTGAGAAAATAAACGAAGAGCAATGTGCTTCGTTCTGTGCTCCAGTCTCTGGTGCTGACATAAGAAAATCATGGCCTTGTTGTCGACGTACAGAACTGGAAGAGAACGAGGCCGCTCACCCAAGTGGCTTCCTGTGAATCCATAGCCCCAGCGTAGATCTCGGCCTCACAGCTGGAACAAGGTACAGAAGACGAGCGAGTGGACCTCCATAGACGGAACCAGTGCTAAGGCTGAAACTGTAACCCTGTGTCAACCGGTGAGTCGTCTGGTCGTCAGCCCAAGAAGCGTCTAAGTGACCGGTGAGAGCAACTGAACCCTGCACAAGCCCTCATGCCCGATGTACTTCACAAGTAACGCAGTACCCTCTTCGCAGCTTCCCAGTGCACCTTTCGGTGTCTACCGGGAGCCACGTAGCGAGCCGGAAGGCTGAGAGGGTACGCGAGGTCAGGTCGTGTGCACGTCATCAGGTACATGAGGCAACCCACAAGCTCTAGATACGGACCACTCAGCTCTACGGACTTGTCCGAAGGTGGAGCTGAGAGCGAGTGGCCTGTAGGCAGAGGAGCGGGCTGTGGTGAGGACCACGAGAAGCCGAAGCGCTGAAGGACCTGCTGCACCATGTGTGACTGAGTCAAGGTGATGGTGCGCCGTGCTCTGTCCCGGGTGATCTGCAAGCCAAGATAGCTCCGCAGCTCACCCAGGTCAGTGCATGTGTGTCTCTCCTCCCTAGGGCCAGTGCCTCAGTGTCAGCAGTAGCAAAAACCAAGTCGTCGATGTACACAAGAACGTAAAACGGCGGCAGAGAAGTGTCTGTCCGCAGAAACAGTGAAGGGTCAGCAGTCGAGGGAGCGAAACCAAGAGCCGCAAGTGAAGTCCTCAGTGTGTCGTGCCACTCGCGGGCACCTGTCGCAGACCGTAGACTAGTCGCCGGAGACTCCACTGGGTACCCTCAGGAAACGACCAAGTGAAGCCAGGTGGGCGGTGCAACCAGATAGCCTCGTGAAGGCTGCCCTACAAGAAATCTGTCGAGAAGCCGAGGGAGTGCTGCAACGTGCAGTAGCACCCGAAGAGTGGTCATCTTCGGGGTGGGGGAGAAGGTCTGGAAGAAGTCAAACCCCTCACGCTGACTGAAGCCTCGTGTAACGTAACGCTCCTTGAAGGCAGGCGGAGAACCCGGTGGCCGCTTCACCATGAAATTCACATGCCATCGAATATGTTCGGCCAAGGGGGAGGAACTGCGTCGACGTTGGTGCCTGTGGACTTCCACGAAGCCATCTCTGCGTCTGTAGCTATCGGCCACTGAGAGGAGTACGCACTCGTGATCGCATCTGCGTAAGAACGCGGGGTCTGGATGTCCAGTGCATCCGGGTCTCCCTCAGGGCAAAGTAGCGTGGACGCGAGATGAGGTGCAGCGGCCGCTAGGCACTCCAGCTCAAACTGCCTGCCCTCAAGGATGTCACAGCCAAGGGCAAGCTCACCCCCGACAGACGGAGGGCAGGAAGCAAAAAAAACAAGACTCGCAGCGTAGTCAAGGCAAGCAAAGTCAACAAGCTCAGCAACTAAGGCAAACGCAGCAGACTCAAAGAAAGGGGCAGTCACAACTGTGGCAAGTAGACAAGTGACAGTCAGACTGGCAGTACGGACAAGGTCAGACGCAGGGTCAGGAACGTGAGGAAGAGAAGACGCGGGAGGCGACGGCAGGACAACACGCTGTGGAACAGAGGAAGGACGAAGTGCCATGATGTGCATGCCAAGGACAGGTGGAGGACGAGGACGCACAGCACGACGAGTACGGACAAGCGTGACAGGACGCGACGCAGGCTCTCTACTCTCAGTGAAGGACTCTGACACCGCAGTGTAACGAGCAAGAGCAGGCAGTGGGGAGTGAGGCAGTAGTTGTTGCTTAGACTGGTCAGGCGGTGGAAACAGTAACGGAGGATTAGTGCCAACAACAAGGAACTCAATAACATCAGGCATGAGACTGAGGAGGTGACTAAGCGCAGATTGTTGTGGCTGAGTAGTCGCACCCCCAGAACCCCAGCTCCAGTAGCAACAGCATCCCCAGAACCAGTACCTCCATCTCCACCACCGGGACTGCCCCAACGGACAGTCCACTCGCGAACCTACTGCGGCGAGAGCGACTCCTGCTGACTAGCACCACCAACTCCAGTACGTCCAGCGGCACCTTAAGTGTCAGCACCTCCAGTGTCAGCACCTCCAGTACCTCCAACTCTAGGAACACCAGCACTAGCACCTCCAGGGCCAGCACCTCCAGTACCTCGAGCTCCAGTACGTCCAGCTCCGTCACCGGGACAGCCCACTCTCGAAGCCGCTCCGGCGAGAGAGGCTCCTGCCGACGAGAACCAGTACCACCCGCAACAGCATCTACAGCACAAGTACCTCTAGTACCTCCAGAAGCACCAGTGCCTCCAGCACCGGTACCTCCAGCACGGCCAACTCCAGGAACACCAGCACTAGCACCTCCAGGGCCAGCACCTCCAGTATCTCTAGCTCCAGTACGTCCAGCACCGCCACCGGGGCTGCCCCACCGGACAGCCCACTCGCGAAGCCGCTCCGGCGAGAGACGTGCACCAGTACCACCAGCACCAGCGCCACCAGCACCTCGAACCGCACACCCCCAGCAGCTCCTGTACCCGTAGGACACTCAGCACCCCCAGAGCCAGCACCCTCAAATTCCACACCCCCAGTGTCACCACCTCCAGCAGCACCAGAGTCCACAGCGACGGGCTGAAGAGGCGGTGAAGACGGTCGAGGCGGAAAACCAGGAGGGACCGTCAGGCGCGCGGAGCGGCGAGGGGCCACTATGGCAGTCGGGTCACCCCCCTCACCTGGGCCAGAGGTGTCAAAGGAGACCTCCAAAGGCTCAACCAAGGGGGGTGGGTCTACCTGAGAAATAGTAGGCTCTAGAAAATAAAATAATAGGCCGATTGAGATGAAATAAAGACCAAAATAAAGAGGAGAAAAAGGAGAATAGGATAAAGGAAAAATATAATAATGACAAATATTATAACGGGGACGTCCTCTCACACTTCCCCCCCTCAAAGCTGGGTGGTAGAAATAACACCCTGCTTGACAAGGTAGTCCTGGAGAGGACGACGGGCGTTATCCATGTCGTGTTCAGGTACCCAGCTATCCTCGGAAGGATCATAGCCTTTCCAACGAATCAAGAGCTTCAAGGTGCCGTTACGTCGTCGTCGGTGCGCCAGAACGGCTTCGACTTCGTACTCAGGTTCCCCATTAACTATCACTGGCAGTGGCGGCGGCGGCTGGCGACCTTTGAAGACCGTGTTCGGGTCCCGATAGGGCTTGAGAAGTTGAACATGGAAGGCATTGTGAATTCTCCAGGTAGCTGGTAAACGCAAGCGGAAGGTTATCGGAGTGACCTGCGCCTCGACGAGAAAAGGTCCACAGAAGCGAGGTCGGAGCTTAGACGGAAGATGGCTGATGTCGAGATTGCGTGTATCCATAAGCACTTGATTGCCAATCTTGATGGAATGATCGTTGCGACTCCGATCAGCGAGCTTGTTTTGTTGCTGCTGGATAGTCAGAAG